ATGGAGGGGTTTGTTGGGGCCAGTGCCTGGCTTTAAAGACCCCAAGTTGTGTCCAGCTTGGATGGACCTCCTGGGGAGGGGGTTTATGCAGTGGGGTCTACATCGCTTTGATGGGGCTCTGCTGTCCCCATCTTGCTGCTGGCGCTGGGGGAAGCCCGCTGGCACGGCCCCCTCCCCAATGCCCCCCTCCCTAATGCCGCTCTCCCCAGCTGGTTCCACGGGAAGATCTCGGGGCTGGAGGCGGTGCAGGAGCTGCAGCCCCCCGAGGATGGGCTGTTCCTGGTACGTGAGTCTGTCCGGCACCCTGGTGACTACGTGTTGTGCGTGAGCTTTGGCAAGGAGGTGATCCACTACCGTGTGGTGCACGAGGAGCACACGCTCAGCATCGACAGTCAGCAGTACTTCTCCAACCTCATCGACATGATTGAGGTGAGCCCCCCATCCCCAGGTGCTGAGCCCTGCCAGCGCCAGACCAAGGACAAGAACCTCATGGGGTCACATGGAGCAGTGGCAGGTCCCCCCATCCCTGCTCATTTGATGCGTCACGCAGCAGCGGAGCTTAGGGCGTTTTGGGAAATGAAGCTGCCAGCAGCCCCTGCCACCCCTGGACCCTGGGTGAGGTCTGAGCCCCACAGAGGATTTGAGGCGTTTTGGCACGTTTCTCTCCCCTCCAAGCCCCCCTGTCGCATGCTGACCCCAGGGGTCTCCCAGACTGCCACGTTAGCTCTTGCCCTTCCGGTGAACTCTTCCTCAAAGTCCGTCTTCACCTTATGTCATAGCTGCTGCCCACCTCCTCTCTGGGGGGTTGCGCTCTCGTATGTTTTCCTCATTTAGACACAACTTCTGCTTTCGGGTGGGTCTTTTCCCCTTTTAGCTGCCCCAGCCCCGCTCTGTAACCGCGAGGGCTGTCCTGCCGCTTCCGTTCCCTGTCGCCTCTGCAAACCGTGTGGCCTCTGCAAACGGCCTTTGGCTGCTGCAGCTCCCGCTGGGGGTTTTAACCCCATCGGCTCCCATCCAGCTCACCTGTAGTATCCCACGCAGCCCGTGGTCCATCGCGATGTTTCCCTGTCTGTGCCGGAGGGGAGCAGGGCTGAGACGTGGGCTGTGAGTCATGTGCTGGGGGAAATGCTGCCTGAGCTGAAGGTGCTCCAGGCCCCTCAAGGGTAGGGATGGTGGTGGGGTCCCATAGAGCATCCCATGACTGTTTCCCAGCTCCACGCCCCGATTTCGGGGTATAAGAGGTGGCGTTGCCACGTTGCCTCCATCTGCCCATCCCTCGGCAGCACTACATGAAGGAGCAGGGAGCCATCTGCACCAAGCTGGTGAAACCCAAACCGAAAACCGGGATGAAGTCAGCTGAGGAGGAGTTGGCCAAAGGTAGGCGAGGGTGGCAGAGGGTCGTGGTGTGGGTTTTGGGGACAAGGCAGCATGGCCCCACCGGTGTGTCCCTGCTAACCTGCCCTTGTGCCCCTGCCCAGCCGGCTGGTTGCTGAACCTGCAGCACCTCACACTGGGAGACCGCATCGGGCAAGGCGAGTTTGGAGGTAGGTGAGAAGATGGGGCTGGAGGTTTCCCTGGCCATGGGCTTCCCCAAATGGCATCCCCTGATGTCCCCTCCCCATCCTGTGGCACTGGGGGCTCAGCCTGGGACGCGGGGGGGTCAGGTGCAGGGCTGAGCCTGAACCCCCGCATCTCCTCCCAGATGTCCTGCAGGGCGAGTACATGGGGCAGAAGGTGGCTGTGAAGAACATCAAGTGCGACGTGACCGCCCAGGCCTTCCTGGCTGAAACCGCTGCCATGACGTGAGTGCCATGGGGGGATACAGCTCAGCCCTGGCTCGTGACCTGGTGATGAGCAGGCACCCCCTCAGCCCAGATCCCCTCTATTTCAGGAAGGTCCGGCACAAAAACCTGGTGTGTTTGCTCGGCGTGATCCTGCACAACGGCCTCTACATCGTCATGGAGTTCATGAGCAAGGTTAGAGCACCCAGCCAGTCCTCAGCCGGCGGGACCTATCACCGCTCGCATTTGGGAGCAAAATCCCAGTTGGGGCTGAGCTGGACAGATGCCAGGTGCTGCAGCCCCCACAGGGGGTAAAATCTCTGGGCAGCCCCATCCCCTTGCTCCTTACACGTTTCTCCTCCTCTGTCAGGGCAACCTGGTGAACTTTTTGCGCACGCGGGGCCGGGCACTCGTTTCGACCCAGCAGCTCCTCCTGTTTGCTCTGTAAGTCCATCTCCCTCCCTCCAGGCTGGGGACCGGTGCTCTGCGTCCCCCGAGCAGTCCCGGGGGGACACGCGGTGACACTGCTGTGCCTCGCTCGGCCGTGGCAGGGACGTGGCCCAGGGCATGGACTACCTGGAGTCTAAGAAGCTGGTGCACAGAGATCTGGCTGCCCGCAACATCCTCATCTCTGAGGAGAACGTGGCCAAAGTGAGC